GAGAGGGAGAGGGAGAGGGAGAGGGAGAGGGAGAGGGAGAGGGAACCTGGCCTCAGAATTCTCAGTGCCTGAAGGCCTTGTTTGAGTCTAGGAAAACTAAGAGAAATGATGGCCCATCCCCTGCCCCACTTGAAGAGAAGCAGCTAAAAGTGGAACGTCTGAGCCATTCAAGAACAACATCATGAAAGCACTGGGCTCGAGTTCTCACCGTGCTGTTTCGGACATCTATATTGGGAAATTTCTTGTTGATGTACTTGAGACATGGTTCCATGGATTTTTCCAGTAAGAAGGGTGGCTTGGATTTGGGATCTGAGCAGGTCTACACAGAACAAAACAAAACAGCACAAACTATTTGTGTTTCAATTTCTTCCCCTCAAAAACACTCCTCGGTCTGCATCCTTCATTCCCACCATCTCTCTGAGGGAAAGGCAGTCTGGGAACTCACTATAAAAGCATGAGAACAGGTCAGGAGCAAATTCCAGGACAGTGAGCCAAGGATATTAAAAGCTAACAACCTGGGCACCTTGTCTTAACATAGGCTTGACTCTAACACAGAGAGGAAGTGGTTTCCCCACCCCTCAATTGAAGCCGGAAGTACTGAGAAAAGTGTTCAGGGGTTAGACTTTATGTAAAGCTCAGTGTCACAGTTACAGCCTTTATGTAAGTATCGCATCCCAAGGGTTCACAAGGACACAGAAACCATGTTCCTGGTGATTTAGTCCCAAAATGCACAAAATGCACTTCCCATAAGTCGGTTATTCTCTCCCCCAGGCACTTACCACCATTACCTATCTTTATCTCTTTTCTTCCTATGGCTTGACAGCCCCTGGCCCACCTCTTGCTGCAGCTTCTCCCAGTTTCACAGTTCTTATTTAAACATACACACAGCATGAACAGCTTCAAAGGACCTTAAGATACCTACTTTTTTTTTTTTTTCCCCCTTCAAGACAGGATCTCCCTGTAGCCCCAGCTGGCCTAGACCTCGCTATGTAGACCAGGCTGGCCTCGATCTTACAGAAATCTGCCTACCTCTGCCTCCCGAGTGCTGGGAATAAAGGTTGGCTGACACCTATCGTTTTAAAATCTATTTCTTTTCCTTTTAGGAAAATGATTCCTCAAAAAAAAAAAAAATGTTTTTGCCAGAGACCCAACTTTAGATCTCAAAAGTGTGGAGGGATTAGCAATAAAAAGACCCAGAATTTTAGAACCCAGACCCTTATCCAAAGCACTCAGAACACAGTTATCCTACCCTGCCCCACCCTAATCCCTACCCTCAGTCCTCAGAGGAAGATGGTGCTTTCAGTTAAGGCAAGAATCAGACCTAGAAAGGGAAAGCCCTGAAATGAAGCTTCCTTCTACTGCCCCAAACTGTGTGGCCTGTATCATCTGGGTAAAGCAGTGGAAAAAAGAAGGGAGTCTTACCTAGCAGGCCTGCCTGCGCTCCTGCCCTGATCTTGCAGGGATGACCCGTGCTTACCTTCTTGATGTTGTACATGCGGATAAGAACCCCCTGGCCTCGGTCATTCAGGATCGTGAGCTTCTCCGCTAACTTATGCTGGTAGGCAGAGGTCAAAGACATGTTGGCCACCCAAAGAGGGGAGTACCGAAATAGCAAGACCCAATCGCCCGGAATACTCTCAGCCTGGGCAGCGACGCCCTCTGTGTAGAAGGCCCCAGACTGGTTGGTGCGCTGGGCTTCCTGTTACCTCTGCTATTGGTTCATGGGGGAAAGCTCACAGGCCTCAGAACCTTCTGGTACTTCCTCTTGTGCACTCAGCAGAGGACACTTCCTCTTTCTTGCTGAGCAGCACTTTGTGGACTGTGCAATAGGCAGAGACCGAGGAAAGCAACAGACGTTGAAGGCGCCTCACAGTGCAGATTAAACTTTCTGGCCTTGCTCCTTCCAAATGTCCTGAAGCCTACACCAAACAAATATCTACCACCAGCCCCATCTACCTCTACACTTTCCCTTTTCTATCCCCATCAAGAATGCCTCTGATTTTCTACTCAGCCTTAAACCCCAGCATCCTTTAGGATCCTGGTCAGATCCCATTTTTTCCCAACTATTCTGTCCAATTTCATGTTCTGTTCTATATTATATATAGAACTATATATAATATAGAACTATATACATAAAGATTGGGAAGGTTGAGATGAAGTCTCATGTATCCCAGATTAGACTGAACCTAACTACTTAGGTAGTTGAGAGTGTCCTTGAACTGCAGCTCTCCTGCCTCCAACCTCCAGAGTGCTGGGGTTACAGGCATGGACCACAATGCCTATTTTCCTTGTTATATTGTTAAACTCATATCTTCTCTCTCCCTCTCCCTCCTACATCATATCCTCCTATTGACAGGAATGGTACCTAATATTATTGATGTCCTTTGCAGTATCTAGTACAGTGATTCTACCAGTGTGATCCAGCAGCAGCAGTATCACCTGGAAACTTGTTAGATACCACAAAAAATTAATTGAAAAAAATTTTTTTAACTTTTTAGGATTAGCAGAGTGTGGTGGCGCATGCCTTAATTCCCAGTACTTGGGAGGCAGGAGAATCTCTGTGAGTTCAAGGCCAGCCTGGTCTACATAGTGAGTTCCAGGTTAGCTGGGGCTACAGGGAGACCCTGTCTCAAAAAGATAAATTAAAAAAAAAAAGGTGTTGCAGTGGCTCAGTGGTTAAGAGTACTGGCTGCTCATAGAGGACCCAGGTTCAATTCCCAGCACCCACATGGCAGATAACAACCATCTGTAACTCCAGTTCCAGGGGATCCAACATCCTGTTCTGACCTCCAGGACATTTGCATGACAGAGGTGCACTTAACATACATGTAGGCAATATACTCATACACATAAAACAAAAGTAGTAAATTAAAAAATAAGTCCATGAAGAACCAAATCAATGGAGATTAGCAAGAGGAAATTAATGACCCTTAAACCTTGGAAAATTGAATAAGTTTTAGCACTGACATATTCTTACCAGCCTAGCCAAGCATCAACACTCTACCTCAAGAAAGCTTTCAATTCATTTCAAGTTTCTGTTGAGGCAGAAAGCAAAAGATCTGGGGGAAATTCTAAATCAGAGTTGTTTTGTCATCCACTGCCATTCAAGGCATTTTCTCTGCTGTTTAATGATTCTCATTTTCCACAACCAGAGCTTTTCACATGAGCCCAAATTCCCTGGTGGGAGTGGAAGAAAAGAGTCAGAGCTGGTCAGCATTGTTATTTAAGGAACTTAGCATGTTTGCTCCCAAGAGAATGTTGTGTTTTGTTTTCAAGAAACATCCAAATGCTTAAGGTATGAAATTTCAAACATCTTTAAGAGGGACCTTGGATTTTTAGAAAGGGAATCTGTCTTACAGTTTATTTACTGAGGCTTAAAAAGCTGTAGGCTTGGGGCTAGAGAGACGGCTCAGCAGTTAAGAACACTGACTTCTTGCAGAAGACCCGGGGTTCGAATCCCAGCACCCACATGGCAGATAACAACTGTCCGTAACTCCAGTTCCAGGGATCCGACAGCCTCTTCTGACCTCTGCAGGCACTGCACGACACGGGTGCACTTACCTACATGCAGGCAATACACACATACACATAAAATAAATTAAAAAAAAAAAAGCTGCGGGCTTGTCTGTGGTATCAGCCCTGAAGATTCGATTCACCCGCCATTATCAAGGCAACCCAGTCGTGCTGAAGAGGTCTGTGGGGTTTCTATGGGCCCTTTACCTTGCTGGGGGACAATAAACAACAGGCTCTGGGAGGCAGCCTCACAGCCCCACAGCCTCGCAGGGACAGTATCTTTCTGTTGCCTTTCTCACTTTTATTCCTTATCCTTTCCCAGAAAAATACTTGAAGACTCTCCACGTCAAACGTCTTGTTTTCTGCTGTCGCCTAACATATATCCTCGGTCTAGTGGGGACCATGTTTCAGTCCTCTGGAAGCAAGCTATGTTCATTTCTGCCTTCAGTTACGTATACTTTTCCTCATGCTGAACCAAACCGTATTCCAACATCAGGATTCAGCTCAACAGTGCTCAGACCAGCCCCTCTGGAAGTCCTACAACTCGGACTGTTAGCATATGCTTTACATCTAAATCAGATTCTGCCTCAATTTTTTTTTAATATAGGGCTTCACTGACTAAGTAGCTCTGACTGGCCTGGAACTCACTTACATAGATCAGGCTGGCCTCAGATTCACAGAGATCTGCCTTTAAGGCATATACCACCACACCTAGCCTTCCTCCTTTTGTTTATTTATTTATTTGGATTTTTGAGCTAAGGTTTCATACAGCCCAGGTTGGCCTCGAACTCATTAAGTAGCTCAAGATGCCTTGAACTCCCAATTCTCCTGCCTCTACCTCCCAAGTGCTGGAATTATGGTTATGCACCACCGTGCCCAGCTTAGGTCCTACCTTTAAATGCCCATTTCATATTCTACTCTCTCCCCACCTACTGTGAAAGATTGCTGGAGCATGGTATCATTTATTCACCTGCAGCTGGTACAGAGGAAAAGCACACACTTTGGTATGGGTCAGAATCTTCTGGTACAGCTGAGTACAGTGAGCTATATGTAGCCTTATGACTTAGTGGCTAAGTGCCCAGGTTCTGGGCCCAGGTAGCTTGGCGTTTACCTCCCAGCTCTATCATTTAGCAGCTCATGCAGCTTCCCTACCTTTAAATGGACTGATAGTGATCCTTTCTATTGCATGGGGCCATTGTATTATTAAATTGATTCATATATGTAAAGTAATAACCTCTTTACTATGTATCAGATACTTTCAGCATTCTGTGTTACCTCAAACATTAATGCTGTTCAAACATGTGCTAGCCTTTTTCAGCTATCATCACTGGGTTAATTTTCCTAATCTATAAAATGGTGGTTGATAATCCCTTATACAACTATGGAGGTGATTCAATGATTTGTTTTATATGTATGTTTAGCTCAAAGCCTCGCATTTTGGATTAGGTATATCAACAATAAACTGAAATTTTGATTTTTAAATGTGTGGTGGGCCACCATTTTCTGTAGAATTCTACTCAGCTCCTCCTAAAGAAAAAGGTGAGGATGGGAGCTGATCATGATGACAGGTGGTCTTTAGGGACTTATTGGAAACATAGAAGCAGTTCCTTCTGTGAACTGGAAGAGGCCCGCTAAAGAGATTTGGTTGCCCTAGAGAGAAAGGTGGAAGTAACCTAGTAACCTAGTAACTGTCAGCCAGAATCCCCTGAGGAACTCTTAAAGTCACACTCAACTAGACTCCACTCTTAAGATTGTGATCCAGCAGTTCTAGAGTGGTACCAAAGGATCTGTCCCTTTAAAACTCCCAGTGCTCCCCATGGGACATTCATGTTCCAGAAGACTTCACTATGACACTAAAACTTTCCAAACCTCTGAGAAAGCTCTGTGTTGGGAAGAGGAACAGAAGACAAAGCTTGAACAGCAAGTTGATTCCCATTGTTGACTGGGGGGCAGGAGGTACTGTGCTTTCTCAAACTTCTGTTCATTTTGTGTCACTTACAGGATTGCCTTCCTCTTTCCATGGGATTGTTGAGGGACAGTACTTTGAGAATAAGGTAGGTCTCACATCCTTATGCTAGAATTTCTTGCCAAGTCTGGCATATGTTAAATTAAAAGGCCCCCATAAAAATCCGCCCTCCCTCCGTGGAAAATGCAGCCTTCAATTATTAATGAACAATCCACCATTTCCTATCCTCAGCGCATATCCTCAAGCAGTCTTCACTTGTTAAGACCAGACTTGGCAGCCTGATGAAAATTCATACTTTTCTAGGCCACTGGCTGAAATAAGAGGTTTTCTGAAGACCACATATGGATACATATGGTTATTAAAACACTTTTTCCAGGGCTGGAGAGATGGCTCAGCGGTTAAGGGCACTGACTGCTCTTGCAGAGGACCCGGGTTCAATTCCCAGCACCCACATGGCCCCCTTCCAGGGAAATCCGAAGCCTTCTTCTGACCTCCGTGGCATTGCATGACATGGGTGCACTCACATACATGCAGGCAATACACTCATACACATAAAAGGAAAATAATAAATATTTTTTAAATGATATACAATAATGGATTTTACTATAGCTTTTATTTTCCAAAAAGTCAATTCACTTTATAAGAAGTACCCATGGCCCTAATATAATCATTAATATGCAGTGAAATCTTTAAAGAATCACCCTAGCTTGTGTTCCCAAAAGCTACCTAAGTCTAAATCCCTGGATTTAATCACCAAAATGCCCTCAGGAAAAACTGACATTTAACGGTCTAGCTCTATGCCCTTTTTCTATGCCTTAGGCATAGCGCAAAGCAGAATTGAAATAGTCTGTTCTAGGGCACTTTTCTATCCCTACTGCTTCCCACACTCTGCCTTGATCTTTTCTAAACCCCCACCCGCCGCCAATCAAAATATACATCACCACTTTGCAGAAATCTTAGCTATAGCTGTTGCCTGGAAACTTGGAAGACCCTGAAACAAATGTCTGCTCTGACAGCTTAAGACAGCCGTAGAGGAGAGTGGGCCCCCTATTGGCAGTAAAATGCAGATTTGGTTTATTTTTAGTTCACTTCTGGGAGTCTTCATATGTTAATATCTACACGTTTGGAGATTTCAGACTAGCATTCTTAAGCAAGTGTCTAAACACCAACATTATACTGTTACTCTTCTGAGTCCTTCTCCCATAGTAGTTATGCTGACTCATCTGACAATTAGTAGTTCGTTTTAGAAAAGTTGGAGAAGGGAGGGAATGCAGAGCAGTAAAGCCTTGCTTTCTCCAGCATGCAAATACTGACTTTCATCTTATCCAGGTCTGTGACTTTCCCAAGGATTCTTGCCTGTTTAATATTCTATTTGGAAACCAATCACTCTATTAAAACAACCTGTAAGATTATTTATAATGTTAATTTGGGGCCTTTCAAAGCATGACAGCAGAGAAGTTCTCCTTTGGTATAACCAGCAAGCTATTGCATTTGTAGTTCAAAATTTTCACAGGGAAGACTGAAGATAGCTGTATTTCACACCATGTTTCTTTTTTCATGTGTGTATGAGTGTTCATCTCCATGCATGTATGTGTACTGCATGCATGCCTGGGGTCTCAGAGGTAAGAAGAGGTATCTGATCCCCTGGAACTAGAATTAGCAAACAGTTGTGAACTTTCATGTGGGTACCTGTGGGAGCCAAAAATTGGCATGGGATCCCTTGGGAGCTGGAGTTACAAGCACTTGTGAGCCACACAATGTAGTGTCCTAGGATCTGAACTCCAGTTGTCCCCTGTTCTTACTGCTAAGCCATTGCTTTTAAGAATAGAAAATAGGGGCTGGAGAGATGGCTCAGCTCTTGCAGAGGACCTGGGTTCGATTCCCAGCACCCACATGGCAGCTATGAACCGTCCTTAACTCCAGTCCCAGGGGAATCTGAAGCCCTCTTCTGACCTCCGTGGCATTGCTTGACATGGGTGCACTCACATACATGGAGGCAATACACTCATACACATAAAATAAATAAAATGTTAAAAAAAAAAAAAAAGAATAGAAAATAGGCCTATCTCAAGACAACCTGATTTTAAGTGTTCATCTTTTCTTTTCCAACCTATGGTTCTTGCCGTTTAGGACCAATGGAATTAAAAGTTATAGATAGATGTCCTTATGAACCAAACCACAAGATACCAGCTAGCAGGTTACAGTACCACCTGGCATCATGCAAAACGGTAAGTTCTCCCAATAACTGTAAATTACTAAAGAAAAAAGAAATTTCAGAATATAAAAAGATAGGTTTTTTTATTTTGTTTTTCATTTTGAAAGCAAAACACAACCGCTTCTGATCATAGCGAGAAACTGGCGGGTCTTAACATTGGAACATAATACCTCTTCAGCATTTCCAGAAATGAGCTGGGGGTGGAATACAGGCAAAACCTAACAAGGAATTTTTCCTTCTAGAAAAATCTAAAGATCGCTAAAAAGATGGCTAGCTGCAAATATAATGCTTGCCATGTGGTTCCAATCAAAAGGGTCAAGGAACACGAGGCCAACTGCGCCAGCAGAAGTGCCATGGATGATGGTAAGCAGTGCCAAGTTCTAATGGCTTCCTACAGCCCCATATGTCATAGTTACAGAAGCCTTGACCAAATGTGAGGAATAAAAGACAAAAAGGAGCTTCTCTTCTACTTCTACACCTGTTCTACTTTGGTTCAGAGCCACTTAATCTAAAGATTATTTGTCCAAGTTTGGAAGCAAATGAAAACTTTCCTAATGCTGGTGATCAGATTCCTGACCCCGATGTCGGGAATGTAGGTGAGCACAGAACCTGAAGCCCACGGCTCTTTATAAATAACAGCACAGCCCCAAGTCATGAGTCTCTATACTCTTCCCACAAAAGTCCTTCCCTAGAACAATCAAATGAGTAAATTTAAGAATGTTGTCTGTCTCTAGAGAAGCAGCCCAGTAAAAAATGGTCTAACTAAGCTACAGCCCAGCCCTGTGACCCCAGCCTTTGACAAGGACTGCCCTACTTTGCATGGCCCCTGATTTGCATGGAAGACATTGTACAACTGGGATTTCAGGCTCAGCGGCTCCCGCTAAAGTCCTAGAATCATACATTGGCCAATCTGGACTGCCTTCATTCAAATGGTGTAAACTACAGAATAGGAAACTACAGACAAAAAAAAATTTTGCCCTAAATGAACAAGAACTACTCTCAGAGATATCTCCTACCCCGGCCCCATATGGTCATTGCCTTGTGCTGCAGATGGAACTCTAGTTACTGCCCAGCTTCTCTGCCTCTTCCAGTGTACTCAATAAAGAATTGCTCATTACACAAAAGTATGCTTAATACTGTTAACTCCTTTAAAAAAAAAAAAAAAGGTGATCTAAAAATCTAAATTCATTTATAAGAGTGAAAAAGTTCACTGAGCAGGCAGGTATCTGTGCATTAGAGGCGAGCCTGGACTACATGGCAAGTTCCTAGCCATTGTGAGACCCTGTCTCAAAAAAGAAAAAAAAAGAGTCCCCACCCCTAACTGAGGAGCTATGGACAGTTGATGGCTTCTGGCAGAGGTAGAGTCAGTTTTCTTTAATGTGTGGCTCCTGATAGGTGGACCATGAGGATGGTCCCATACCCAGGAGTGTATGGACAGCACAAATAGGAATGGATGGATTATTTAACAACAAAAATAGAGGACACAAACTTGGGGTGTATAAAAAGGCAGAGCTGCCAGGCGTGGTGGCGCACGCCTTTAATCCCAGCACTTGGGAGGCAGAGGGAGGCAGATCTTTGTGAGTTCGAGGCCAGCCTGGTCTACATAGTGGGGTCCAGGACAGCTGGGGCTACAAAGAGACCCTGTCTCAAAAAAAACCAAAAAAAAAAAAAAAAGGTATAGCTAAATCGGAGAGGAGTTGGGGAAAATATGATCAAAATATATGAAATTCTCAAAGAATTAACAAAAAATTTAAATAAATAAAATAAAGTTTAAAATAAAGCTTGCCAGTATCTGATCTGAAACTTAAAATATGAAAAGTTGGAGTTTCTCTTATCTCGTGTCGTGTCCAGTCTCTGAGATGCAGAGTGTTATATAAAGGCCTCATTGGCCTTCAGCAGCTGTCTACCCTTACCTTGAGAGAAGTCACTCCTCAAACACATCTTGCTAGTCCATAAAGTTTGGCTGCCCACAATCAAGCTTAATGCTACATATGGAATAGGGCCACAACCCAGGGGAACTCACTGGCCAGGTAGTCTAACATGCACAAGGTCCTGGGCTCCATCTCCAGCACTGAAAAACAATAAAAATAAATAAACACGTATGTAGGAACAATGCTAGCATCTACAGCATATATACTCCAAAGTATGTTCTCAAAGTTGTTGTGTGTAAACCCCAGAAGTTTTTCAGTGGCTAACAGTGACATGAGGACTCGGACTTGTTTTAGCTTGTGGCTGTCACCTTCCACATTGGGCTTCCAAAGCTGACAGAATGGAGAAGGAGCAACTGCCTTTTAATGACCTCCTTCTGGAAGATGCTTGCATTCATTTTCCACTGGCAAAACAGTCACATAATGATCATGCCTAAGTATAAGGAGTGGACACGGAGTCCCTGGAGGAGCCCCTTCTCAGCAACAGAGAGACTGAAGTCTCTGCTACCAGCTAGCCTGCTCTGCAACCATATGAAAATGTTTAGCATGCATGTTTCTTGTTCTCGTTCCCGCCTTTCCAGATCACATGCATCATTCTCCTTCATTTGTTCTTGAGGGTTTTGTTTCAAAAATTCTGGTTTGTGAAAGGTGAGATAAATTATATATTCATCACATGAGAAAATAAGTTGAACTCTGCTTAAATTTTTTTTTTTTTTGTCTCTTTGAGACAGGGTCTCCCTGTAGCCCCATCTGTCCTGGAACTCACTATGTAGACCAGGCTGGCCTTGAACTCACAAGACATCCACCTGCCTCTGCCTCCTGAGTGCTGGGATTAAAGGCGTGCGCCACCACGCCCGACTTATTTTTAATTTTGTGTGTATGGGAGTTTTGACTGCATGGATGTAAGAACATTCATGTCATGCAATGCCCTCGGAGGCCAGAAGACATCAGATACCCTTGAACTGGAAGGTTGTTAGCTGCCATGTAGGTGCTAGGAATGGAATCCAGTGCTGTTAACTACTGAGACCCTGGACTCATTTTAATTTTGTTTTGGTTTTGTTTGGTTTTGGGTTTTCACTTGGGTTTTCATTTCATTTGGGGTTTTGTTTTTTTTTTTTTTTTTTTTTTTTTTTTTTTTTGAGACAGGGTCTCCCTGTAGCCCCAAGCTGACCTGGAACTCACTGTGTAGACCAGGCTGGCCTGATCTCACAGAAATCATCCTGCCTCTGCCTACATATTGCTGGGACTGAAGGCATACCCCACTACACCTAGCTCTTTTCATTTTTTTACATTTATGTGTGTGTGTGTTTGTGTGTCTGTGTGTGTCTCTGTGTGTGTGTGTGTGTGTGTGTGTGTGTGTGTGTGTGTGTATACCCATGTCCTGGCATGTGATGGAAGTCAGAGGGCAAACTGCTAGACTCAGTTCTCTTCCACCATGTGGATTCTGGGAATCAAACTCAGGTCATCAGGCTTGGTGGTAAACACTTTTACCTACTCTAAGCCATCATGTCACCAACCCTAAAGTTAAACTCTTTTTTTTTTTTTTTTTTTTTTCCTTTGAGGCAGGGTCTCACTCTGTAGGCCACTATGTGGCCAACTTAAAACAATGTATATCATGCTGACTTGAATTCACAGAGATCCACCTACCTCTGCCTCCCAAGTGGTGGGATTAAAGGTATAATCTCAAGCACCTGTAATCGCACAACTGGGAAACACACAGAAGATCCCTGGAACTCACTGGCCAGGTGGCCTAACCAAATCAGTAAGATCCAGGTTCAGTGAAAAGATCCTGTCTCAAAAAATGTGGAAGGCCAGCAAGATAATCCAGTAGGCGAAACGGACTTTGTTGCCAAGCCTGAGTCTGATCCCCAAAACTCACATGATGGAAAACAGAGGTGACTCCTATAAACTGTTCTCTGACCTCCACACAGGTGCTATAGCACATGCCCCCCACAATAAATAAATAAGTAAATAAAAGATATTTTAAATAAATAAAGTGAACAAGTGAAAAATATACTCAACACTGACCTCTGGCACATACACACTGTGTGGCTAGGGCTCTGGGTCCTTTCTCAACGGCTCTACTCCAACATTCATAATTCTGTGAAAGATTTTAAAGAATACCAGTTCCTAAGACTTAGGAAACATCAGGATCCCCAGCCAAACAAGCTCAAAAGTAACCCTTAGGGTTACAAGAGCCATCAGTGGAGTTACTACTACATAGGAGAAAGGAAGGCGTAGAGAACGCAGTGAACGTCGAAGAGAAAAATAAAGGCGCTCACCTTTAATCCCAGTGCTTGGGAGGCAGAGGCAGGCGGATCTCTGTGAGTTCCAGGCCAGCCTGGTCTACATAGCAAGTTCTAGGCCAGCTGGGGCTACAGAGAGACCCTGTCTCAAAAAAGACAAAAAAAAAAAAAAAAGATTCCTACTCTGACACTTAGCAGTTAATATCAATTGTTTGACAAAGTAACTTTCACTGCCTAGAGCTAATTATAACAGTTAATTCTCTGTTCTTGGTTTTCAACTAACTGTTTTCTTGTAGTCCTCTCCTATAGTGACTCAAGACAATTCCAAGAGGCTATGGTTGATAAACATCCTAACAACTATAAATTCTGGGGAGAAGGTAAAGTAACTTTTGTAAGATCAACAAAGTTTTAACTAGTATTAACATTGTGATCTAAACTTTCAAAGACTGGTTTTGGGGGTTGTCCTGGTTCATTGCTGTAACACAGGCCCACCTGCCCAGGGGTGGCACCACCCACAGTGGGCTGGGCCCTCCCACATCACTCATCAAGAAGATGCCCTTCAGACATGGCCACAGGCCAGTCCAATGGAGGAAATTCCCCGATTGAGGCTCCCTCAACCCAGGTGTGTCAAGTTGACACTAAAGCTATCCAGCACAGGGGTTTTGGGGTTTTTGGTTTGTTTTTTTTTTAATATGTATCAGTGTTTTGCCTGTATGTATGTAAGTACACTACATGGGTACAGTGCCCATAAAGTCCAAAAGAAAGCATTGGCTCTTCTGGAACTGGAGTTACAGATGGTTGTGAGTTGCCATGTGGGCCTGGGAACCAAACCTGTGTCCTATGCAAGACCAGCAAGTACCCCCATTTTAAAAGATTCTTACACAACTTTTCTTCTTAAAAACATCAAAGCCAGCCAGGCATGATGGTGCACACCTCTAATCCCAGGACTCAGGAAGCAGAGGCAGGCAGATCTTGGTGATTTGGAGCCCAACCTGGTCTACATAGTGAGTTCTAGGACAACCAAGGCTGTCTCAAAAGAAAAAAAAAAAAAATTAAAACATTTTGTGAAAGAGCTCATTGGTGAGAGCTGGAGAGGTGACTCAGCAGTTAAGAGCACTAACTGCTCTTCCAGAGGGCCCTGTTCAGTTCGCAGCACCCACATGGCAGCTAACACTGCTCTATAGCTCAGTCCAGGTGATCTGGCGTCCTCTTCTGGCCTCTGTGAGCTTTTCATGCATGTGATGCACTTATAGGCAAAACACTCATACACATAAAATAAAAATAATCAGCATAAAAAAACAAATATTCAGAGATTCAGCTCAAGTGACAGGCACTCGCCTCACATGCACCTGGCCCTGGTTCAATCTCCAACACTAAAAATATATAAACCGGGGCTGGAGGGATGGCTCAGCAGTTAAGAGCACTGGCTTTTCTTCCAGAAGACCTGGGTTTGATTCCCAGCACCCACATGGCAGCTAACAACCATTCATAACTCCAGTTCCAGAGTATCCAACACACTTTTCTGTCTTCTCTAGGTATTACATACATGTGTGATGCACTTACATGCATATGTGCTGGACAGCTTTAGTGTCAAATTGACACACCTGGGTTGAGGGAGCCTCAATCGGGAAATTGCCTCTATTGGACTGGCCTGTGGCCATGTCTGAGGGGCATCTTCTTGATGAGTGATGTGGGAGGGCCCAGCCCACTGTGGGTGGTGCCACCCCTGGGCAGGTGGGCCTGTGTTGCATAAGAAAGCAGACTGAGCAGGAGCCAAGGGAGCAAGCCTGTAAGCAGCGTTCCTCCATGGCCTGTGCTCCAGCTCCTGCCTCCA